CTGGGGTTAGTCGACCCCCCGGGGGGGTCGCATCCTGGGGACAAGTTAAGGACCCCAAGGAAATAAGTTGAAGTCCCCGATGCCACTGACTTTCTTGGGTTATCCTGGGGGGGGCTAACCCCCCGGGGTTAAAAATCGAAAGAAATCTTATCTTTTCTTATCCTTTCGCATTCGTATCTCGGGGGGGGAGATTTAGGGTGAAACAGGGGCACGTAGGGGCTTGGATATGGATAACTTGCAAATAGGTGTAAGCTGAACTTTAGTAACTGAGCTACCTGTTTTGTGTAATAGTGTTTAAAAAAAAGTTGAACGGGGTGTTTCTGAACTCTACATGATTTTCGGGAATTGAGCATAAGACATTCATTGTTTTACTGTACATTTTTTTGGATACTGGTGTTCTTTGATCTGTGGACAAGTTTCGTGTTTCGTAAAGTTTACACTTTGTAACGTTAGTACTCCACTACAAAAGAAGATTTAGACTCATATTTTTCTGAATTTTGGCGACGTGTTTGGGTGTAAAAAGGTCCCTTTAAGGCAGTGGGAAATGCTGCTGTAGTGTTGCTAATGCAGTGTGATGAAGTAAAACGGGGAAAAGGGGAGTGAAGATAGTTTTTAATTTACCGTATTTTCTTCAAAAAACTTTGGGCGCATGCTCTGAAGAAAAACCCTTTTAAAACTCCTATTTTGGTTTAGGTCTAGGTGCAGCGTGACCCCTAAAACGGGAAAGAAAATTTACAGGAGTGAAATGAGACGCTTGGGAATCTTTATTGTGAAAACGTTTCGCCAGCCAGTGGTTTCATTAGTTCAATACAGAGGAAGGTAAAAGATGAGAAGGAGTTTGAGATAATCAGTCCTCAGTCTGGAGACGATGTGTTCAGTCCATTAGTTTTGATGCAAGTACAGCATATGCATGAAGAAGGGGCTTATATACAGGAGACAGGTGAGACGAAGCAGAATCTTCGTACTTCCACTAGTGGATTTTGTCCAGTGACGCCACCACCAATTGCTTCACCTAACCTGGCTCCTGTACGTGTGTGTATGAAATTCTAATCAGCTCTCCAGCAAACAACTTGGTTCCAGTGAACTTGAGTGATTCGCTGGTACATATGGGGAACAGCAAGCATATCTTGGAGGAAGAAAACAGACTAAATAAAATTATTTAGTTTTATCATTTAATTAAAAACAAAAATAAAAACGGGAATAAGATAAGATTTATTGGGATTTTTAACGCGGGGAAGGGTTAGTCATCCAGGATTATCCAAGAATCAATGTGTCATAGAGGACAGAAGTGTGTCAGCGAGGACTGTCTTATTTCCATTATGGTCCTTTAATCTTGTTCCTCCAGGATGTAACCCACACCAGTTCGACTAATACCCAGGTACCTACTTAGTGCTAGGTGAGCAGGAACATCAAGTGTAAAGAAACATGCCCAACGTTTCCACCCTACGGTTACTGTATGTGTGAGATAAGTGCGTTGCCTGTGAATTTTCCAGTGAGGTTCCGTATCTTGGGAAAGTATACTTAATTATATAGGTTATGAGCTGTGTTTACAAGCATGAGCAGTATATGGTGGTTAGTTTAGTTCCGTATTTATGAGCCGTCAGCAATGCGCATGTAGCGCGGTGCTTGTTTGGCTCAGCTGATTCTTGCCAAAACATTGTGTTGTAGAATAATAGTGACGTGCCAATGTTTGCTCAGACCCTGACGTTTGTCGTCTCTGTCCACCACAGTTTCACTTGCCTCTCGTGCTTAAGAAGGCTGAGGCCTCCTCATACGCAGCTCATATTGACGTAGATTGAGACTAAGAACAAAAATTGCGTAGAAAGTGATAGGATTTTGTCAAATGTTTTACCTTCCCGCCAGGTTGTCTTGAAAAGTGTTGCTGGCAAGATTTAAGGAACGTGTAACTCATTATAACTGTATTAAGGAAGTTTGATAAGATAACCTATGATAAATGAAAAAGAAAATTGTATGTGGAAAATAATTTAAAAGCCAGACAATTGCAGAACAGCGGACTTCTCTCCCTCAATTATTACCTTTCACTGTTAGCAGGCGCTTCCCTCAGGCATTTTGCCGGTCATTGTATATAATTCCAGCTTTACTTTTAATACAACCAACGTGAATTTCTTCAGTGTGAGTTCAAACTCATCAACCTCATAAATTGAAAACTGAAAAGAGACCCATGTTTCTTGCCATCTGTTTCCTCACCTTTTGTGCGTGATAATGGTGACTACTTAAAATATTTGTATTTCTACATATATATTATGGGGTAATTTTCTGCGAGGTTTGGGTGATGTGAGACAAGTTTAGTCTGGTGCTACTGATGCTGGACCTCTCAAGCTAACATTTCACACAGGAGTCCCTTACCATGTTTTGTTTCAATATCTGGTAAGGGAAACGTAAACAATTTTTATCTGCATGTTTTTTTTTTTTGTAGAATAAACTGAATGAGTCATATCAACACTACAAGAGTAATAACCCAAACACACTGCTGCTCACCCACATTCTATACCAACCCAGCTACACCAACACCTACACACACCAGCCAACAACTACACACACCAGCCAACACCTACACACACCAGCCAACAACTACACACACCAGCCAACACACTACCAAAACACACACCACCAACAACTAACACACACCAGCCAACACTACACACACACCAGCCAACAACTACACACACCACAAACAACAACTACACACACCAGCAACAACTACACACACCAGCCAACAACTAACACACACCAGCCAACAACTACACACACCAGCCAACAACCACACACACCAGCCAACAACTACACACACCAGCCAACACAACGAACACACACACCAGCCAACAACTACACACACCAGCCAACACCTACAACACAACATCAGCCCAACACCTACACACACCAGCCAACAACTACACACACACACCCGCCAACAACTACACACACCAGCCAACACTACACACACCAGCCAACAACTACCACACCAGCCAACACCTACACACACCAGCCAACAACTACACACACCAGCCAACAACTACACACACCAGCCAACACTACACACACCAGCCAACACCTACACACACCAGCCAACAACTACACACACCAGCCAACAACTACACACACCAGCCAACACTACAACACCAGCCAACAACTACACACACCAGCCAAACACTACACACACCACGCCACAACAACTACACACACCAGCCAACAACTACACACACCAGCCAACAACTACACACACCAGCCAACAACTACACACACCAGCCAACAACCTACACACACCAGCCAACAACTACACACACCAACCAACAACTACACACACACCAGCCAACAACTACACACACCAGCCAACAACTACACACACACCAGCCAACAACTACACACACACCAGCCAACAACTACACACACCAGCCAACAACTACACACACACCAGCCAACAACTACACACACACCAGCCAACAACTACACACACACCAGCCAACAACTAACACACACACCAGCCAACAACTACACACACACCAGCCAACAACTACACACACACCAGCCAACAACTACACACACACCAGCCAACAACTACACACACACCAGCCAACAACTACACAACACCAGCCAACAACTACACACACACCAGCCAACAACTACACACACCAGCCAACAACTACACACACCAGCCAACAACTACACACACCAGCCAACAACTACACACACCAGCCAACAATACACACACAGCCAACAACTCACACACCAGCCAACAACTACACACACCAGCCAACAACTACACACACCAGCCAACAACTACACACACCAGCCAACAACTACACACACCAGCCAACAACTACACACACACCAGCCAACAACTACACACACCAGCCAACAACTACACACACCAGCCAACAACTACACACACCAGCCAACAACTACCACACACCAGCCAACAACTACACACACACCAGCCAACAACTACACACACCAGCCAACAACTACACACACCAGCCAACAACTACACACACCAGCCAACAACTACAACACACACCAGCCAACACCTCACACACACCAGCCAACACCTAAACACACCAGCCAACAACTACAACACACCAGCCAACAACTAACACAACACCAGCCAAAACACCAACTACACACCAACACATACATACTACACACAGCAACCGCACCAACAACTACACACACACCACCAACAACTAAGCACACACACACCAGCCAACACTACACACACCCCAGCACCAAACCACACGCCCTAACAGCTACACGCAGACACACAACACACACCTACACAAACACACTTCACGTCACAGACTGTACAGCATTGACTCAGCCTAGAAAGTGCACTAGTGGAGCGGGAACACATACAACCTATTAACCAACACGGTTTGATAAAGCCATGGAGCATGGAGAGAGAGGACCCAGTACAACCAGAAAGAGGCAGGGCCAGAGCTAAGCTCGACCCCTCCAACACAAGTAGGTGAGTACAAATAGGTAGTACATTACGCACACCACGAACGAGCCCAACAGCACGCATCACTAAAACAACACGCACACCTACACAAAGCACCCACACCTACACACGCACACCCACACCTACACACGCACACCCACACCTACACACGCACAAACCCCACCTACACACGCACACCCACACCTACACACGCACACCCACACCTACACACACACCCACACCTACACACGCACACCCACACCTACACACACACACCCACACCTACACACACACACCCACACCTACACACACACCCACACCTACACACACACCCACACCTACTGTGTATGTTAGGCCCATACTGGAGTATGCAGCACCAGTCTGGAACCCACACCTGGTCAAGCACGTCAAGAAGTTAGAGAAAGTACAAAAGTTTGCAACAAGGCTAGTCCCAGAGCTCAAGGGAATGTCGTACGAGGAAAGGTTAAGGGAAATCGGACTGACGACACTGGAGGACTGGAGGACAAGGGTCAGGGGAGACATGATAACGACATACAAGATACTGCGGGGAATAGACAAGGTGGACAGAGATAGGATGTTCCAGAGAGGGGACACAGGGACAAGGGGTCACAACTGGAAGCTGAAGACTCAGACGAGTCACAGGGACGTTAGGAAGTATTTCTTCAATCATAGAGTTGTCAGCAAGTGGAATAGCCTAGCAAGTGAAGTAGTGGAGGCAGGAACCATACATAGTTTTAAGAAGAGGTATGACAAAGCTCAGGAAGCAGAGAGAGAGAGGATCCAGTAGCGATCAGTGAAGAGGCGGGGCCAGGAGCTGAGTCTCGACCCCTACAACCACAATTAGGTGAGTACAATTAGGTGAGTACACACACACCTACACACGCGCGCACACATACACGCTTGCACACACCAACACGCGCGCGCACACTCCTACATACGCATGCACACACCTACATATGCACGCGCACACCTACTCATGCACGCACCTACACGCAACAGCACGCCTACACACGCACGCACACCTAAACACAAGCTCACCTAAACACACGCACACACCCACACCTAAACACACACACACACAAAGACGGGATGTTCCAGAGAAGGGACACAAACACAAGAGGTCACAATTGGAAGTTGAAGACTCAGATGAATCAAAGGGATGTTAGGAAGTATTTCTTCAGTCATAGAGTAGTCAGGCCGTGGAATAGCCTAGAAAGTGACGTAGTGGAGGCGGGAACCATACATAGTTTTAAGGCGAGGTATGATAGAGCTCATGGGGCAGGGAGAGAGAGGACCTAGTAGCAATCAGCGAAGAGGCGGGGCCAGGAGCTGTGACTCGACCCCTGCAACCACAAATAGGTGAGTACACACACACACACATAAACATGCACGCACGCACCTACACACGCAGACCCACACCTACAGAGTGCAAAGCTTTGCAACAAGTCTAGTCCCAGAGCTAAGGAGATAGCCGTACGTAGAAAGGTTAAGGCAAATCGGCCTGACGACACTGGAGGACAGAAAGGTTAGGGGAGACATGATAACGACATACAGAATACTGCGAGAAATATATACAGGATGTTTCAGAGATGGGACACAGCAACAAGGGGTCACAGTTGGAAGTTGAAGACTCAGATGAATCATATGGATGTTAGAAGTATTTCTTCAGTCACAGAGTTGTCAGGAAGTGCAATAGTCTGAGAAGTGATGTAGTGGAGGCAGGATCCATACATAGCTTTAAGAAGAGGTATGATAAAGCTTATGGAGCAGGAAGTGTGACCCAGTAGCGACCAGTGAAGAGGCGGGGCCAAGAGTTATGACTCGACGTCTGCAACCACAATTAGGTGAGTACACACACACACACACACACACACACATTCTACACCGTGTACGTCAGGCCCATACTGGAGTATGCAGCACCAGTTTGGAATCCACACCTGGTCAAGCACGTCAAGAAATTAGAGAAAGTGCAAAGGTTTGCAACAAGACTAGTCCCAGAGCTACGGGGATTGCCCTACGATGAAAGGTTAAGGGAAATCGGCCGGACGACACTGGAGGACAGGAGGATCAGGGGAGACATGATAACGACATATAAAATACTGCGCGGAATCGACAAGGTTGACAAAGACAGGATGTTCCAAAGATGTTACACGGAAACAAAGGATCACACTTGGAAGTTGAACACTCATGTGAGTCAAAGGGATGTCATAGAGTTGTCAGGAAGTGGAATAGCCTAGAAAGCGACGTAGTGGAGGCAGGACCCATACATAAAGCTCAGGAAGCAGGGAGAGAGGACCTAGTAGCAAACAGTGAAGAGGCGGGGCCAGGAGCTGAGTCTCGACCCCTGCAACCACAATTAGGCGAGTACACACACACACACACCACATACACACATACAACACATGCACCACATACACCACACACACCACACACACACACCATACACACACCACATATACACACACATATACACACACATATACACCACACATATACACACACACATACACACATACACACACATACACACATACACACACACATACACACACACATACACACACACATACACACATACACATAACACACATACACATACACACACACATCACACACACACACACACACACACACACACACACACACACACACACACACACACACACACACACACACATCACACACACACACATATATACACACAGTAGCAACCGGTGAAGAGGCGGGGCCAGGAGCTAAGACTCGACCCCTGCAACCACAAATAGGTGAGTACACACACACACACTCCAGCAGAAGCTGGAGGATCAGGCGCATGTAAAAGGGAGGGCACTGCAATGGATAAGGGAATACCTGACAGGGAGGCAGAAACGAGTCATGGTACGTGAAGAGGTATCACAGTGGGCGCCTGTTACGAGCGGGGTCCCACAGGGGTCAGTTCTAGGACCAGTGCTATTTTTGATATATGTGAACGACATGATGGAAGGAATAGACTCTGAAGTGTCCCTGTTCGCAGATGACGTGAAGTTGATGAGAAGAATTAAATCGGACGAGGATGAGGCAGGACTGCAAAGAGACCTGGACAGGCTGGACATGTGGTCCAGTAACTGGCTTCTCGAATTCAGTCCAGCCAAATGCAAAGTCATGAAGATTGGGGAGGGGCAAAGAAGACCCAGACAGAGTATAGGCTAGGTGGACAAAGACTACAGACCTCACTCAGGGGAGAAAGACCTTGGGGGACCATAACACCGAGCACATCACCGGAGGCACACATCAACCAAATAACTGCTGCAGCATACGGGCGCCTGGCAAACCTGAGAAAGCGTTCCGATACCTTAATAAGGAATCGTTCAAGACACTGTACACTGTGTATGTTAGGCCCATACTGGAGTATGCAGCACCAGTCTGGAACCCACACTGGTCAAGCACGTCAAGAAGTTAGAGAAAAGTACAAGGTTTGCAACAAGGCTAGTCCCAGAGCTCAAGGGAATGTCGTACGAGGAAAGGTTAAGGGAAATCGGACTGACGACACTGGAGGACGGAAGGGTCAGGGGAGACATGAAACGACATACAAGATACTGCGGGGAATAGACGAGGTGGACAGAGATAGGATGTCCAGAGAGGGACACAGGGACAAGGGGTCACAACTGGAAGCTGAAGACTCAGACGAGTCACAGGGACGTTAGGAAGTATTTCTTCAGTCATAGAGTTGTCAGCAAGTGGAATAGCCTAGCAAGTGAAGTAGTGGAGGCAAGAACCATACATAGTTTTAAGAAGAGGTATGACAAAGCTCAGGAAGCAGAGAGAGAGAGGACCCAGTAGCGATCAGTGAAGAGGCGGGGCCAGGAGCTGAGTCTCGACCCCTGCAACCACAATTAGGTGAGTACACACACACACACACACACACACATAGGAGCTCGGACTCGACCCCCGCAACCTCAACTAGGTGAGTACACACACACACACACGGTCGGGGCCAGGAGCTAAGAATCGACCCCTGCAACCACAAATAGGTGAGTACACACCTACACACACAGTGAAGAGGCAGGGCCAGCAGCTGAGTCTCGACCCCTGCAACCACAATTAGGTGTACACACACATCCACATACACCACCACATACACACATCACATCACACTCACATCACCACATACACCACATACACATACACTAACATACACTTACACATACCACATACACATACCACATACACACACCACATAACACACCACATACACACACCACATACACACACACACACACACACACACACACACGGTCGGGGCCAGGAGCTAAGAATCGACCCCTGCAAAACACATAGGTGAGTACACACCTCACACACACAGTGAAGAGGCAGGGCCAGGAGCTGAGTCTCGACCCCTGCAACCACAATTAGGTGAGTACACACACACATACCACATACACACATACCACATACACACATACCACATACACACATACCACCTACCACACCACAACATACCACATATATACCACATACACACATACCACATACACAACATCCACATACACATACCACATACACACGCCACACACCACCACACCACGCCACATACACACGCCACATACACACCACATCACACATGCCACATACACACGCCATACACACCACATCACATCGCCACACACACGCCACACTCAACCACACACACCACACACACACACACGCCACACACACACACCCACACACACACACCACCACCACACACACACACCACACACACACACACCATCACCACACACACAACACACAGACATCCACAATTCACTACCAATCAGAATCACACACACTACACAAGACTAGGGACATATACACTACAAAACATACACTCAACACAGACCACATCACAACAGCACATGACACATACAATTACACATAACACACACACATAACAACACACTACACCCAACACAAAACACACACACACATCACACACACCATTACACACAACACCAACACCAACACAACAACAATCACAACACACCACACACAACACACACGCACAACCACACACCCACACCACACAATACACACACCCCCCACACACACACACACACACACACACACACACACACACACACCACACACACACACCACACACACACACCCCCACACACACCACACACACACACCACACACACACACACCACACACACACACACCACAACACACACACCACACACACACACACACACCACCACACACACACACCACACACACACACCACACACACAACCACACACACACACACCACACACAACAACACAACACACACACACACACCACACACACACCACACACAAAACACACCACACCCCCACACACCACACCACACACCCAAACACCCCCAACACCCCACACACACCACACAACCCCACACAACACACCACACCCCCACAAACCCCCCACACACCCACACACACACACACACACCACACACACACACACACACACAAAACACACACCACACACGCCACACCACACACGCACACACACACACACGCACACAACACACCACACACAACACACAACAACCCCACACACACAACCCCACACACCACAACACACACACCACAAAACCACACCACACACACACACACACACACACACACACACCACACACACACACACACCACGCAACCACACACACCACGCACACCACACACCCCACACACACCACACACACACCACACCACCACACACACCCACCACACACCCCACACACACCCAACCACACACACCCACCACACACACCACACACACCCACACACACCACCCCCCCACACACACAACAACACACACACACCACACAACACACACAACACACACACACACAAACACACACACACACCACCACACACACACACACACACACACACCACACACACACGGATGTTCCAGAGATGGGACACCGCAACAAAGGGACACAGTTGGACGTTGAAGACACAGATGAATCACAGGGATGTTAGGAAGTATTTGTTAGGTAAGACACATATGCAACAGTTAGGTATCTTTATTGTGAACTTTTTCGCTTACACAGTAGGCTTCTTCAGTCAAGTACAGAAAAAGTTTATAGAAGCAGAAGATACTTGAAGACGATGTAATCAGTCCATCACCTTAAAGTTTTTAGGTGGTCAGTCCCTCAGTCTGGAGAAGAGCAATTTTCCCCTAGTATGAAACAATATTGTTTCATTTCTATTTGGGAAAATTGCTCTTCTCCAGATGAGGGGATGACCACCTCAAAACTTTAAGGGTGATGGACTGATTACATCGTCTTCAAGTATCTTCTGCTTCTATCAACCCTTTTTTGTACTTGACTGGAAGAAGCCTACTGTGTAGGCGAAACGTTTCACAATAAAGATACTAACTGTTGCATATGTGTCTTACCTAACAACCTGTCGGTATTTTATTTCTATTTTAATGGGTTCAGGAAGTATTTCTTCAGCCACAGAGTAGTCAGGAAGTGGAATAGTTTGGGAAGTGATGTAGTGGAGGCAGGATCCATACATAGCTTTAAGCAGAGGTATGATAAAGCTCACGGTTCAGGGAGAGTGACCTAGTAGCGACCAGTGAAGAGGCAGGGCCAGGAGCTAGGATTCGACCCCAGCAACCTCAACTAGGTAAGTACATTCACACACACACACACACACACACACACACACCACACACACCCCACACACAAAACACACACACACACACACACACACACACACACAGGCACTAAACTATAGACCAGTGTCACTGACGTGCATAGTATGCAAATTAATGGAGAAGATTATCAGGAGGAGAGTGGTGGACCACCTGGAACGGAACAAGAGTATAAACG